GGGGGGGGGGGGGGGACAATCTGCGCAGCCACTACGAAACTTTTCACTTCGCGAAGCTGGTGGCGAAGCCCACACTCGTCACATCTATGCATCGCTCCTTCGAACATCGACGATCCGTTGTCCGCGCCACAAACGTCGTCACGGAGAGGCTTGGGAAGGCGAACGCTACCTTGGGAGAGTACCTGAAGTACATCCCCGAATGGGCATCCTGCGGCATCGTCTTCGAGCACGACGCGAGCATAACAGGGCCGGAGGACGCGAAGAGGCTGGATTGGTTGGGTTTGGCCCCCCTGGAGGACGACAACGACGACGCTGGAAAAAACGACGCGAAGGGAGGGGAGGGGGGGGCTGCTGGTGAGACGTACGGCGCGGGAGAGGGAAGTGGAAAGGGGGGGGGCCAGCGCGGGCGCTCCGAGATTTGTGGCTGCGAGTATAGACGTTGGTGGTCATGACGGGCTTGTCGTCGGCTAGGCACGTGTACAGTGTGTCGCTCCTGTGAGTAAACGAGCGGCGTTTTAAGTCATTCGCTTTGGCAAGGGTGCTTTTTTCACTTCCATTGTCATTGGTTGTGCACCTGTTTAGTGTGTCGCTCCTGCGAGTAGACGAGTGACGTTTTACGGCGTTCACTTCAGTAGGGTCGACGGGGGTTTTCGATGTCAATCGTTGTGTTGTGTGTTGTTGTCATCGCAGCTTGCTGCGAACGAACATAACTGCGCTTCGAGCGCACCCTTTTTTTCATCATGCGTCCGCTGTTTTCGTGACTTCGCTTGCATGAGTGAATGATCATTCCGACGTTTGCATGCACACATTTCATCTTTCTCTTTTTATGATGTCATTGTCGTTCGTTTGGTTTGTTTTTTGCAGTTTTTCCAAATGGCACCAACAACTGTATTTGATTTTCTTTATAACAGTCCTAGTAACACAATGCACACAACCCTTACCAGCAGACGACGTCCAAGAGCAGTTGTTGTGAAGATGCAATGGCACAGTGTATCTTCTTCCTGATTCATCATCGCATTGAAATATCAACACACAGAAGAACAACACATACTAACAATAGACAGAAGAAAAACACATCACCCCTCGCCACTTGCACCCTCAATCGACGATTTTAACATCGCAAGGAAATTACAAAATCGAGCATAAATTGTTAAAAAAAACATCATAATCTAACGCAGGGGCGACAAGTTTCAGCCCCTCCCGCACGATCAACCCTGCACTCTCATCAGCACAGCGGCCACGTGTAAAAAAAAAGGCGCACAGGACACCCGCAGTGCGCCATGTCCCCACTACACAACGGAAACACCCATTGCTGGGCTCCCTGAACAACGGGCGTGCACATCCACATACCGCGATGCTGACGAACTGCAACCTCGAACGCAAACTACCAACCCCAAGGCGGGACGCGCACTAACACTCCATTCAAGGCGGGACGAAACAACAAATCTGGCCTCTTGCCAATGCTGCAATGACTACACTTCCATGCGCTTCCGTCCACCATGTGAACACGACTCAATCATGTTTCATTCGTTCCGCTAAAGCATCCCGCAAGGCCAACGCTTCATTTGTTGACGTAATCAAAAAGGGGCTCTTCGATCCCTAGGTCCACGAGTCGTCGCACACTATTAGCGTCGACCTCCCATAGCAAATTCTCGTCAAACGGAATTCCAGCGTCGGTCAATATGTTGTGCAGTATACATACGGCAGTGAACTGCTGCGGGAGCGTGTCGAGGTTGGTCTTGTGCGTCCGCAGAAATAGCCGCCACATGCCCTTCAGCCTGCCGAATGCCCTCTCCACCGCTCCCCTCGCCACCTTCTGCTTGTTGTCAAACCACTCCTCATCGACGTCCTGATTGATGCCTCCATACGGGACGACCATCCATTCCGAAGGGGGATAGCCATTGTCCGCTAGGATGTACCCGTTCGTCCGCACACCGAACGGTAGTGTCATTGGGGGACCACGGAACAACGACCCCGACTCCGCGTGCTGCCACAGGCTGGGCAACTGGAGCACCCTGATGTCGTGGCAGCTACCCGGGTATCCCATGTGTACATCGAGCACACGCAAGTCCGGGTCGACGACAACCTGCACGACGATGGAGAAACAACGCTTCCTGTCATAGTAGTTTTCGCTCGGTGCGTTCGCCGACAATCTGGTCTGGCTGCAAAGGCTCTCTGTGGGACCACGAAACAACGACCCTGACTCCGCGTGCTACCACAGGCTGGGCAACTGGAGCACCCTGATGTAGTGGCAGCTACCCGGGTATCCTATGTGTATATCGAGCACACGCAAGTCCGGGTCGACGACAACCTGCACGATGGTGGAGAAATAACGCTTCCAGTTATAGTAGTTTTCGCTCGGTGCGTTCGGCGGCTTGTCCACGTAGATGTGAGTACAGTCAATGCAACCATGGCGATTGGGGAACCCTTTATCAGCGAATGCCCGGAGAACGACGAGTTTACGAACTCCAGTCGGCCAGACAATCTTCTCTCCGTACACCCGGAGCAGCGCGACAGTAACGTCCCGGACTACAACCAAGCCAGAAGCTCTGCCAATCCCGTTCTTGTTACACGTGTTGTTCTCGTACGTCTCCCCCAACGCCCATCTGTATAGTGCGTACGCCACAATCTGGTCTGGCTGCAAAGGCTCTCTGTAGAACGTCACCCGCCGCTGAAGATGAGGCGCACACGCCCCCGCGATTTCCCGGAATACTCGCGAGGACATTCCAAGCTTATCCCGGAAGTAGTCGTCTGTCGCGTCGTCGCATTGCCTGAGGTCTTCCCAAGTGCCTCCTGTCCTGCTCTTCATCCACCACCTCGGTGTCGCTCGAGGAGTCACTCAGCAACCCAATGCGTAGCACAACTGAACAACAACCTCCGAGGTTGCCACGTAGTCGGGGCCATCGTTTGGAGCTTGCGTCAATGTCCTCCGTCTACGCGCTCGCAACTGCTCCTTCACTCGTCCCAACGCCCTCTCCTGCTGACACCGAAGAACAACGGTAGACACAGTCGCCGCCACGGACTGCAGCTCAAGAGGCGTCAACACCGCACGTCCACCCTCTCTGCCGCCCTCCATAGCCGCAACCTGGACATGGACCCGTCGCTCCGCTACCATGTGTGTCGTCCGTCGAAAGCTGGCTCCTTTTCTCTGGATGCAGTCCTGCAGACGAAAATGTGTTTCAAGGCGCAGTCGACTCGTGCGAAGGTCGACGACGATGGACGCACCCGACGTTGCCTGTGCACTCGCAACGGACGGTGGACAGAAGTGATGCCGCCGCTGAGCCCGTTTCAGCAGTACGCCGTCTTCGCGCCGCCAACCGCACGTCGTCATCGTCGTTGCAACTGTCATTCGCAATTCGAATTTTAAACGTCGACGCCCCTTGGGTTATTTTTTTTTCCCGTCGCCCGCCTCATGTCGTTTCCCGCCATACGTCGCTGGACCACGCCGCCTCCACACGGACAAAAGATTGTGGACCAAGGACGAACGACCCCGCGGCCACTAATTTCCGTATGAGAACGGCCGCAGGCACGCCACAAGGAAACATCCTCGGGGGAGGTTCCCAAGGATGAGTGGAACGACGCCGCAAATTTCCCTTAAGAGCCACAAGGGAATTTCCTTGTGGCTCAAGGAACTTGTAAGGAGTGTCCAACAAGGCCCTGACTTTCGGATTTCTGAAAAAAGAAGAAGAAAAAACGTACTTACCTTTGCCATGAGAGCTGTGAAGATCGAGGGCCTTGCTCCACTACTAACCAAATGTGCAACATGAGCCTGAATCTCCTTGTAAAACATAGGTAGATACACTTCTACCGTCTTCCCCGAAACATAACGCATATGTGTTGTAAATGAATACAACGCATATTGTGCGTTGTATTCGTTTACAATGCATATGCGTTATGTTTGAGTGAACTAAACCAACTTCACCTGCACAAGGGGGTCGGGTCCAGGCTGAGTAGGCTTAGTTCTGGACTAGGCCTCAGACCTTAATATGCAAAAAGGTGAAAGTGAAGTAGGGTCTCGCCGCACGACACACGAAATGAAAACGAAATGAGGGCATCTGCCCACGAAACGTGGCAAAATACACTTGTTACTATTGATAGCAAACCGATGAACCTGGGCATTTTCTGCAGGAAGATGCACTCGTTTTGTTTTTCGTTTCCTGTCCCGTGCAGTGACGCCCGTAGCCATGTACCTTTCCATGTTCTGGCGACGCCTTGGTGAGTGGTCTGATTTTTCCACTTTTTTGGCTGCGTGACATTTCTGGCTGTCAGAAGGGCCTTCCCTCGCGGGCGGAGAGAGAGAGAGAGAGAGAGAGAGAGAGAGAGAGAGAGAGAGAGAGAGAGAGAGAGAGAGAGAGAGAGAGAGAGAGAGAGAGAG